TCATGTTCGTGCTGCTGTTCGGCGTATTGTTTACTAGTGCTTAGTGTATTTGTAGTTAACGTTTTTCTTAGTTCACATCTTAGATTTTATCACTGTTTTTCTTTTACATTTTATACTTTTGTTGGATGTAACTGGGACCCTGTGTACACAATTTTGTTCCACCTCATGTACCACATGTGGTGTGTATGACAAAGAACCTTGAAACCTTGAATGTTTTTTGTTATATTGTTTTGAATATTGTTTATTTTTCATTTTTAGTCTCACAGTTTTTATATTTAAAAAAAAAAAAAAAAATATATATATATATATATATATATATATATATATATATTTATATATAAAAAATATCTATTTAAATGGTTTAGTTATAAAAAGCATGGTGTGGGTGCTGGTTTTGGGGTTGATGCTCCTCGGTGTCCATGCAGTCCCTCAGTATCTGACTGAAGAAAAAAGGAATGAGTTTGTAAACAGGGTGATTAAATTACTTGTTTCAAAGATAATTAAACTGAATAACTATTGCTGTATATGTTTTATCTTTGAAATGGTAAAATCATTATCTCAAGAATATTATCTAAAATTAAAATGTTTAAACTTTAAACAATGTTCATTCAGGTCACCTGGACGGTTGATTTTGTTGCTGAGACGTTTCGTCCTTGCTTCATCCAAAGGACTTCTCCAATCTGAGGAGCCCATAAGATGTCAATCTTATCACCAGAAAACTGTTTGTTTGTTTGTTTTTTCCACTCTAGGAGTGAGCTGTTTGTAGGATTCAGTTTGGTTTGGTGGGCTCCTCAGACTGAAGAAGTCCTTTGGATGAATGACAAAACGTCTCAGCAACAAAATAAAGGTACAGATGATCTGACTGAACATCGTTGGATTTATACCTGGATTAACGAGCATGAACTTTGGGGATTAAACTTTAAACTTTTATCAGTTACATTTAATTTTAAAACGCCATTATTAAAGCCATATAAAAATATTAGTGTTGTTGTATCAATAACCATCATGAATGGCCAGAATCACACTACTGTGAATTTTATGGACACTAATGGAAGTTAAAAATTGCAAAAGTAAAAAAAAAAAAAGTTAGGCAAACCAAATGTCATATACACTTCAAACGAGCTGAACATTTTGGTACACATGAACATTTCAAATACCATCAAGTATGCAGAAGTAGGTAAATGGCAGAAGAAACTCTAAACAGGAAAATAAATCATGAAATCTGCCTCAGCATTCAGACAATTGCATGAAAGTCTGACTGCTTTAATAAAACAATACAGAAATGATGGTTTGTTTAAAATGTTTGAGTATCTGTGTTATAACCACCACATGAGAGTGTCGCTCTACATTAAAGTTCACCTTTGTGTCTCTGAAGGTTTAGGAAGTGAAGGAAGCAAAAACTGAAGAGCTAGATTTTCTTTTCTTCTTGTCTGCATCGCCACATTCTGTCAGTCACATCTGTGAGCTGTCAGACATGAACGTGCATGTGAGGGGTGTGTGTGTGAGGGGTGTATTAGGCATGCTGATCCTCCACACTCCTCTTGTCAAACTTAACATTAAAATGAAAGTCAGCGGCGAGTGTGTTGCTTCCCTCTGTGTGTGTGTGTGTTTGAGGCAGGAGACAAGTGGGGTCAAAGGAGCCATGCCTAATCCTGTGGGATGTGATGGTATCTTACAGTGAATGGAGATGGGGTGTAGAGATGTGCTCAGTGGTGCACGGATCACAAAAACTTCCTAACTGACAGAACGGACTCCCAGGGGACCGATGTCAAAACGGGTGCAAGAAAAAAACAAAAAAAAACAAAAGGCAAACTGCCAGGAACATCACAATACTGCTTATTGCACCACGCCTGAAAAATGCTGGATAACACTGAGAAATACAACTTCTGTTAATGTTTTTTGGTTCATCAGGAGATCTGTGTTCGGAGATTCTGAATAACTAAAATACTTTTCCTGAAATTACATTTTCATTTTGTTTTCACTGAAAAACAAGAAAACTACAACAAAAACATAGAAGCTGGTAAAAGATAATGGATGGATAATAATATAATAATACAGTTTAACATATAATTTGTTTGGATGAATCTGAGCTTATGAAAAACTTTAAACTACCGTATTTTTTGGACTATAAGGCGCACCGGATTATAAAGTGCATTAAGCAAAACAAAACAGTCAGATTAGTCAAACTTTATTCAACTCATTCACAATAACTCTCAACATTGTTCAGTTGTAACACATAAAATACAAAACAATACACATTTTTGAGTGTCGTGTACTACATAAAATCAGTTTGAGGTCAGTAAGCACAACCAGAATTATTACATAAGACTCACTGGATTATAGGCTCACTGTCAATTTTTGAGAAAATTAAAGGATTGTAAGTGTACCTCTTAATCTAAAAAATACGTTAGTAAAACAAATCTGCCCAAGCAGATAGAAATCAGTTGCAAGCAGATTTGTTTATGAGGCCTTACAGTGTCTCTTTTCAAAACTTTAGTTTAATTATGTGAAAATAAAACCTGTCACAAATAGTTTACAATTCCAACATTAATGTCTATAATAATACAGCGCTCCAGATTAATAATAATTGTTAACTTGTTTGAGCTGATGTTGCTGCTCTTTTATCATTTATCTAAAAGGGTTCTCTATCTTTTGTTTTGTAATTATCAAGTTTTGTTATAGATCACAGATAAATGGGAAAACAAACAATTAATTCTATTAAAATTCATGTTGTCTGTAGTGTTTCACATCTTCATAGTTAATATTTGAAACGTATCAAAAGCAAATGTCTCCATAGTGTTTTGACTAAAGGTGTAGACATCCATCTTTCTTGGTGGTTTAAAAATAGCATATTTTAGGGAAAAGTTATTGTTACGAACTTGAATCCTCATGTGCAACGAGGAATGAAGTTTTTGTTTGGTTGGTTTTTCAGTAGAGTAATTTTCCAAGACAAACTTTTGAATGCTATTGCATACTGCAACTTGAGAACCTAATAAATAATGGATTTTATTTTATTTTATTTATTTTGGCTTGGCTGCTGAGAAAACTGCTAAAGTTAATAGGAACACATTGTCCTGATTCACTAATACTCTTTCTTTTAATGGACAGAATGTGGGTTATGGTTTTTGCTCAATAATTTTTTCAGTAGATTTGTGATTCTGGTCTTCACAGCGACATGATTTTCCCCCCATCCTCATAAATTATAAAAAATTAAAAATTTTGTCAGACCACATAAACAGCGTTTTGATGATTGCTAACAATGTGATTTATTGAATAAGTTCTTTTCAGATTTTTGTTTAGATAATGAATTTTAGTATCCTAGCTTTTCAGAAAAAAAAAACTGACTGTCAAAAAAATGCTTTATGACAGAAACATGTCTAGTGGCTCAAAGACCTGACAGTAAAATAAGATTTAGTCAGATTTCATCAGCTTTATTTAATTGAATAATTAACAGAAATGTAACAGATCTTTTTCCCTGCTGAAATGCAACATGAGGAGCTGAGCAGTGACCAGGGCTTGTGTGATCCTTATTTAAGTTAAGGAGTCAGAGTGGGACACTGGAAGATTTCTTTGGCAAACAAGAAACACAAGTTAATTCAATTCAATTCAGTTTTCACTTAGTTAAAGTTAGAATTGTTTCATAAAAAAGAAAAAAAAAACTTGGCTAAGATCTGACTTCATCTTGGACATCTGACTCATTCTGATCTACATAAAGGAAACGGGCAAACTGCTACATATTAGGGATATTTGAACAATAAGTACTTTGGAAATACAGCCAAACACACACACACACACACACACACACACACGCACGTGATACAGTTGAGAGTCCATACATCCATTATCTTTTGTCCACTTCCTCCTTTCTGGGGCAGGGGGGTCACTGGTGCCCATATCCAGCAGTCAGTGTGTGAGAGGTGGGGGACACCCTGGACAGGTCTCCATCACAGGGACACATAGAGACAAACAAGACAAACAACCATTCACTCTCTCACTCACATCTAGAGACAATTTAGAGTTATCAATCAGCCTAATGTGCATGTTTTTGGTCTGTGGGAGGATCCAGCAACCTTTTCGCTAAGAGGCAACAGCTCTACCAACTGAGTCCCAGATGAAGGTCCATCTTTGAATTTTAAACGTCATTAAACATTCTGTAGAAAAGCATTGGTTAATGTTGATTTATTTAGCGAGTGTGACGTGTACGCATGTTGAAGTGTATACAGTAAGCTATGCACGTGTTTGTCTCAAAGTATAACAGTCAGATTAACAATTTAGTAGATTTAATCATTTGACTGTGATTTAAATGAAACAACTGTACAGAGTAATCTGATCCAGTACACTAAACATCTCAGTAATTCACCTTTTTGATGATGCAGAAAAACTGGTTCATGCATTTGTCACGTCTAGACTGGACTATTGCAATGGTTTGTTATCTGGGTGTCCAAATACTTCTTTAAAAAGTCTTCAGTTAATCCAAAATACTGCTGCCAGAGTCTTTACTGGAGTTAGTAGAAAAGATCATAATCCCTCCAGTTTTAGTTTCTCTCCATTGGCTCCCTGTCAAGTCCAGAATTGAATTCAAAATCTTACTTCTAATCTACAAAGCCCTCAACAACCTAACTCCATCTTATATTACAGATCTTCATCCATCCATCCATTATCTTTACCCGCTTCTTCCATTTTGGGTCACGGGGGTCGCCGGTGCCCATGTCCAGCAATCACTGTGCGCGGGGCGGGGGCTCCTCAGATAAATAATGTTAACTTATTATTTGTACATATAAATGTTTCTGTTCAGTGCCCTGAGATGACTGCTGTTGTGATTTGGCGCTATATAAATAAACTGAATTGAAATTTTTATTTTCTCACAAAGTGATGGACAAAATAAACCAAAAGGTGGCGCAGCTGATCAGTTTTAAAACCTCGGTCAACCCGGAAACAGTATCCGCGGACCTTTAACAAAACCGGAAGTACTTGTTACCCGCAGCTGACTGTTAGCTATCATGGCGCTTGATGTGAAAAGCAGAGCAAAACGATACGAGAAACTGGACTTTCTCGGAGAGGGTCAGGTAGGCAAAGAAATATTTCAACATTCTCTGATCTTGCTGTCGGTTTTGTTTGTTGTTCAAGTTGTTTTTATGAGAAGCAGATAGCAATCGTTAGCTGGTCGCTAATGTCAACAAAGCCCATCTGCTGCATGGTGCTGGTGTGGGCTTTGTTTTTACTGTCCTCTGGTTTTTCTCTTCAGTTTGCCACCGTGTACAAAGCCAGGGATAAACTGACTGACGCAATAGTTGCCATTAAAAAGGTATATTTATATATATATATATATATAAATAGTGGGTTTTATTTTAGTGTCACTTAGTATTTTTTCTCCACTAAACCTCAATGTTTCTTTTCAGATAAAAGTTGGTCACAAAACTGAGGCTAAAGATGGTAAGATGTGCCATGTGCTCCCCATGTGTTAGCCAAACACCTTACAGTTTTACTGATTTATTGTCTTACTTTTAGGTGTGAATCGGACTGCTCTTAGAGAAATCAAGCTGCTGCAGGAGCTGCATCATCCAAACATCATCGGGGTAGTTAAACATTCATTTATTCAAGTCATTGTTCATTAGTCACAAGTTTAGAAAAAAAACAGACCTATATTTTAGTAGATTTCTGTATAAGCTTTGGAGTGAAGCTGAATGTTTAAATAAGCATGTATGCATTTTAAGTCTGCTTTACTGCAACACGTCTGTTTAATATGACATGTGTTGTAGCTGTTGGATGCCTTTGGACACAAGTCAAACATCAGTCTGGTGTTTGATTACATGGAAACAGACCTGGAGGTGAGTTGTCTCTTTTAATAAAATGTTCATAAATATAATTAATAATATTTTGTTTTGTTTGGC